TCAACATTTGCTACAATTTTCTGCTAGGTGGTCACAGTCATTGCTTTTTCTTTTAGTAAAGCTGTGCTTGGACATCAGTAATCATATTTTAAATCTGACAAAGTCATGGTCCTTTACAGCTATAATGTAATTTTCACAATGTCTGTCTTATTTCATCTTCTCCAACTTTGTGAGACAACCAGGTGTTATCACCTGCACTTTTTAGAGAGGTGTGGGTGAGGGAGCTGAGATTCCTGGAGATTAAGTTCTGAAAAGCACTTGGTTCAGAGACAAGCCAGGCTAAGATAAAATTTAAACCCAAGTCCTCCCTTTCCAAATCCTGTTCTCTTTAGCGATACCCAGTTTTTCTACACAGGAAATAATCAATTTAAGAATGAAGACAAATAGGGGACTAGGAATATCATGATTAAGCATTTTGTTGCATTTTCAGTCTAAGGACTAAAATATATAATAAATTAAATGAGATAAATGAACTGAGCTGGGAAGTGCTGGGACAACCATATATACAAAAATATGAGAAAACACTAACCAGTAAGAAAGTAAATCTTTACCTGATTAATAGACTTACTAAAAACCCTTTTCCAGAGGAAATATATCTGAATATCTCATAGCAGAAAATACAGAATTTAAGGTGGACAGAAAGAATCAGAAAGGTCTGTAACTTGTCCGAAGTATTCCAAGTTAATACCAAGGTTGGGACTAGAACCAAGACTTCTGACTCCCCCCAGCTTCCTTTTTCACCGTATCATGAATAGTACTTTCCATCACGAGTGGTTGCAGTCCAATCCACCATTACATCTCCCTTGTAATTCTATAGCAATTTCAGACTTGACTTTCAGTCTTTGATGAACTACAAAGTTTCATTAGAACAACTTGAATCCTTGGTGAAAATGCACCCTAGACCTATTTTAATCAGAATTTTTGGAGGGGCCCTGAATTTGTAGCAAGAAAATCCCCCATGCCCCAAGTTTCTTACGAACACTAGAGTTTGAGAATGCCAACCTCCCAGGTTGAAGTTTTCTAAGTAGAAAACAACTCTTTCTACACGTTTCTTCTAGTCACCATTTCTTAACTTCCTACTCCTAGATGCCTCTTCTGAGTTCATTCCAGGATGACGGATAAAAGATAACACTACCCTCCCATTGTGGGATTTGAGGGGAATTTGGTATTGGGAATGAGGAGGTTGGAAAATCCCAGCAGGGCTCCCCCTTGAGCCTGTATTGATGTGGTTGTGATCATTCCTGGCCATTTCCCTGGACAACTGTAATGTTTTTTTCTTTGCAGAAAATACGAAAAGTCCACCACAGTTCTACTGTAGCTCTGAATCGAATGTTACCAGCCACACCATGTGAATTCATCTAGAGCATGTCTAAGAGCTAATCTGGACACGGTAAAAAAAAAACGGATTACATGTTGGGACTTGATTGTTTAATTTGGCTTTCAAACTAACTAGCTGTGTATTCTTGGGCAGATAAATTCAACATTCTAGACTCACATCTCCGTCATTTAAAAATTAAAGTAAGTAGACTAGATTTGTGTTTTGAACTTTCTTGACATACCTTAATAAGAGATCTACATCAACCACGCATACACACACAGGTTTTGTAAACAGTTTTCATGAAGTGACACCTGACTCTGTATGATAAACTTTGATACTTTCTCTCTCATTCTTTTCTATTTCATTCCATATTCTTAACAATAACAAGTAGCAATCTAATAAATTAATTTTATGACTCACTAATGGGTCATGAATTACAATTTGAAAAACATTTCATTAGATGTTGATTTTCATCTAATATTAAAGTTGAAAATGAATAAGGTACATTTCTCTGTTCCTGTTTATACTTTTCAAGTCCCTCTTGGTTGGATTATATATATATCAATGTGCATTTAAAGGATGTTAATAGAAGATAAAATTACACTTCAAATTGGTAAAATTAACTAGTCAATTACATTCTCTCAGGATTCAAACATTTTGTGCTTTAAATTAGCAAACATTTAAAACCTAGTCTCATAATCAGTTACTGAGAATTTCTCAAGAGTTTTGACCCTCTAACGTTTTACTCGTTAGTTCTTTCCTCTCTATTTCCCTGGGCACATCTGGATAAAGGCAGAAACAAAGTGACGAGGGAGGAAGTCCAAGTAATGACAAGCAGCTGATCTTTTTTTTCTCCCAAACACATATTTAGGGGCTGACATCATAGCCATATGGCACCAACTACAGACAGAAAAGTAACTGGATTCAAATCCAGAAACTTAGCCTTCATCTGACGAAGACAGGAAAGGCTTCAGCAGGGAAGCTCACACCTGTTGTGCTGAGGAACCAACAACCAAATAGCATTGTTATTGTTCTGGAAATAACTTCTGCTAGAGCAGTAAAATAGGCTCAGGGCCAATGATCGAGCTTCCATTGATGCTTTTCCCTGATACTACTTCATTCTGCAGAAAATATCCAAAGATGATAACTGAAAAGAAAGAGTCCTAATAACTCCATTTTTCTGAGTCAACAGCTTGCTCTGACTCAGGTGGCCTTGAGGGCCAGCCTGCTGCCTGGTCTCCCCAGCCCAACTCTCACTCAATCTCCTGACCCAGCCCTTCCCTGAGAGATACTGCAGGGCCCACCCTCAACAACTCACGAGACCCAATCACTCAAGTCCTGATCTATGGGAAACTGGGACAGCCTCCAGAGTTATAAACTGAAGGTGCCTGTGGCTTCCTGGATCCAATCACCTGATTGCTGCTTAGAATGGTTTGACTATGTCAGTCAGACCTCTGAGTTCATCCAGCAAAAGGAGGCATGGTGACCAGCCAGGCTCAGCCAAGGGATAGGAAGTGAACATTCCCCTGTCTGTGGTTTCAGCTTGTCTGGACCAAATAGAGGCCAAACTAATGATTATCACCCAGGGAAGTATGGCAGAGAATCTTTTGAGTTTGCTACGTTGGTATTATCACTTGCTTTTTCTTCTGCTCTCTTTCTTTATCAGTTTGCTTCTCTTCTTTTCCTCGACTTACTTTTATTTTACCTGTATTTTCTCTTTCTGAAAACTTTTTAGATTAGAATCTAATATCCTCCCTGTCAGATTATTTTGATTGCTTTTGGTTCTTTCTGTACTAAATATTGTCTTACAAGCTAGAGTAGGAATAGAGTTGTTTTACAGAAGTATGTCCCACTTTGCATGTCATTACAAAGGTTTCTGTATTTTTAGGAGGCCCTGTCTGCATTATATGTTATCTAAGATATAGCTAGTTTATTCATGCAGAAAATTAAAGTTATGTTCATAGGTGATTACAGCCAGAAGTCATCTCAAAGATCACCAAATCCAGTCCCTTAGTTTTACAGATGAGAAAACGGCGGCCCAGAGAGTTCAAGTGACTTGCTCCAAATCCTAATCTAATATTCGATGTGCTTTGGGGCCAAACAGAAGAGGCAGATAAAACTACAGAAGTATGAGAAATTGTGCACACACTATAATTTCTTGAGAAACCCATTTTGGTCACTGGATGTTAACCACCTGAACAAAGTACAGTGACTATGTCAACCATGCACCATAACTTATTGACAGTGCAGGAGATTCGATTTCCCAGGTGCTTGGGCTGGGTAATGAACTGGCTGCTACACAGGGTCCCACTGGAGAGAAAAGTATACGATTCCCTCATACTCAGGATTCTGGAGAAACCTAAAGCCATGCTGCCAGGACATAGAACTTGAGTTACTGCAGAGAACAGCAGTTTCGCCTGAAATGACAAGTACTGGCCAGCTCCTCTGATGGAGAAAAAATGAGAAATTGGGTAGAGATTCTGTGTAAGGAATTTTTAAACTTTAAATTTGTTTATGTATTTTGAGGAGTAGGGGTTTTGAGAGATGAGCACTTGGCGGTCTCTAGATGCCAGACAGTGTCAGAGGGGGCACATCCTGGCCCAGGAAAAGCTTCCAGTCCTTTCTGAAGCAAGTTCAGTGAATCGCACCATGCCTCTGGGGCAAACCAGAGGCTGAGAAATGCCTGGGAAGTACAGTCATCATATGCCTACTATGGACCTACACTGGATGTTGTTTTGGTCCATTTAGTATCTTTGTAAGTACGATGCACAAGGAAAGCCCCAAGTCTGTGAAAAGGTACACATCCTACGTGGGAAGATGAGCCTAATGAAATATGACTCCCCAGGAATCCCATAGGCTCTTGGGACCGGGGGCTCCTGTGGTTCTTTTGATACCTCGAAGACCCTGCCTGCAAAGGCTTTTGTTTTCTGTGCTGCATTTGCAAAGAGCATAGTGTTGATGAGAAATTAAGTAATAGGAAAAATACAATACAGGGAATAAATGCTAAAAAGATTAATTTCATTAGATAAAATTTAGAAATGTAGATTTCACAAAAAAATCTTCCATTTCCTGCCCTGGAATTCCATGCAGTAGTCTCTAATTTTTATCAGTTGTTGCCCTATTCCTAATTTCTTAAGTTAAATATTCAGTCTCTCTGGTAAGCTTTTGTTGGTAGAATTTCAAACTTGCAGGAAAGTTGCAAGAATGAGCTCCTGAATTCCTTTTATCCTGATTTATTACATATTTGTATTTTGTTTCCATTGCTTTATATTCCTCTCTCTTTCTTCCTGTCTCTCTCTCTTTTTCTCTCTCTCTGTCTCTCTTGCTGTCTCTCTCTCTGATTCTCTCACTCACTTATTATCTGAGCCAATTCAGAGTAATTTGGAGACATTGTGTATCTTTACCTCTAAAAACTTCGGTGTATTATTCCCTAGAACTAAAACATTCTCTTACAAAACCACAGTACAATTACCAAAATTAGAAAATTTAATATTGATACAATATTCTTGTCTAGTCATTACTCCATTTTTAATAAGGTAGGTATTTAAGTCAGTACACTTTATTCTAAATATATCTTTCATTGTGTGTCACAGGTTTAGGGATGAAGTATTCTCATTGTGTTTTAGATAGCTCCATTTTTTACGGAGTAAATGAAATCAAGTATACCGTGCTGTTTTGTTACCTGTTGATGCATCGATTGCCTCATAGTTTATTAAAAAGCCTTCATAAGCAAGGTCAGAGTCAGCCACAAATACCAGCATCAATGAGTTGCCACTGCTTGTAAGAGAAGGTGGGACTGATTTTCCACAATACCTGTTCCAAGCCAAGAAAGAACAGACACACGATTTTAAAAACTTCTGGTGTATTTGCAATGATGTACTAAAGATTAGGGCACGTAAATATAATAATGGGTTTTGTTACTTACTTTCTATCAACATTAAACAACAAATATATTTCAGGCAAAAATATTTATGAACTTACTGAAGATTGTCCTGTTCACGATTACTTCCCTGAAATGGTTTTACGTGTGTGTCTGGCTATATGAATTGTCATGTGTAAGAAGTTTAATGAAATTAGAAAGTACAAGCTATTAATACATTATATTGCCATACAGAATATCAATGAATTTTTAATAGAAATGTAATAAACTTACATAACAAAAGAAACAATATACCATAAACTCATAGAGCTCAGTCTTCAGAGTCAGCTCTATCACTTAGAGCAGTGGTCCCCAACCTTTTTGGCACCAGAGACCAGTTTCATGGAAGTCAATTTTGGGTTGGGGAGGATGGTTTTGGGATGATTCAAGTGCATTACATTTATTGTGCAGTCAAACCTCTCTGGCAATGATAATCTGTATTTGCAGACATTCCCCAGTGCTAGCATCACCACCTCAGCTCCATCTCAGATCATCAGGTACTGGATTCGCATAAGGAGCCGCAACCTAGATCCCCTGATGCACAGTTTACTATAGGGTTCTGCTCCTATGAGAATCGAATGCTGCTACTGATCTGACAGGAGGCAGAACTCAGGCGGTGATGAGAGTGATGGGGAGCAGCTGTAAATACAGATGAAGCTTCACTCGCTCACCCGCTGCCGCTCACCTCTTGCTGTGTGGCCCTGTTCCTAACAGGCCATGGACCCAGTACCTGTCTGTGGCCCAAGGTGGGGGACCACAGACTTGGAGGCATTATGACTTTTGGAAAATCACTCAAGCTCTGTGGCCTCAGTTTCCCCATTTCCAAAATGGGAATGATAGCACCTACTTCATAGAGTTGTTTTAATGGTAATCCATATATAGATGGAATCTATTGTCTTAAACAGCTGGCCTATAAAGAGGTAAGAGTTTAATTACTAAGCCATGTAACAGTTTTTGCTGAACAAAAGCAATTTAGCTCAGAAAAACTATTCTATTAATGGCAAAAGAAGAGTTGTAATAAAAGACATTATGCCACAAGCTTTTATCTAGAGAAATACCTGTAAGAAAGAGTAATAAGAAAACAATA